TCCTGAGGTAATTTTGAATAAAACTAAATGGTATATTTTATTTGTTTACACTTTTGACAGAAATTTTCAAAATTTTTGAACGTGTTTCTCGTTTCTCGTTTTTATATAGATTAGACCGTTGGTTTTCCCGTTTGAATGGTTTTACACTAGTAATTTTTGGGGGCCATATATAGCTTGCTGTTCGGTGTGAGCCAATGCTCCGTGTTGAAGGCCGTACCTTGACCTATAATGGTTTACTTTTATAAATTGTTACATGGATGGAGAGTTGTCTCATTGGCACTCATACCACATCTTCCTATATCTATGTACATTTGTGCCCTAGTTTATGGGAATTTAATTATTGAATTTTATATTTGGACTACAGCCAATGGTTCATTAGTTTAATCATTTGAAATTGCAACATTGTTTCTATAAATATAGAGTAAAAATTTCATTATAGATTTATTATATTTATAAACATAAATATGTAATCATGCTTTGGTTCAGTAACACTTACTACATGTAATACACAATTTTTCATATATGTATGAATAAAAAGAGATGTGGGCATTTGTCAATGAGACAGCAACCTAATGATAAAAATCTCCAACAGACATTCAGGGGGTAAGATAGTCGCAGGTGTTTATACAATATGGCAAGCTGTATAAAAGTTGTTAATAAATTTACTTGTGTCCACTATAAAATAAATAGTCAGTGTGATCCTCAAAAGCACCTTCAGTTTCAATATGATTTGTAAGAATGAATACTTTCATGAAACTAATTATGTGTTTTTTATCACTTGCAGTAACTTTATACACCATTTTGATCATCTACTGCCAACTTTTGACATGTTATTTGCCCTAAATTTAAGAAAATGTTGGTCGAACAGCTACTTTATTTTAGATATACACTTGCATATAGTTCCCTTGTAAATCAAAATTTATAGTAAATTACTATTTATGAATTAATGTGAAAAAGTAATATATCAAATTTATTCAGTTGATAAAAATTATGAAAGTATTTTATGCTTGTGTAATTATAAGTTATTAAATACAATTTGGTACAAGATGTGTATTGATATCAAAAGTTGATTCCCACACTTTTTTGAAATGCTATTATTCCAATTATTTCCTTAGACAAGTAAGTGGACTGATACAATGCAGTATAATAGACACCCAAAACATGTAAACAGTAAATGTTTGTAGCTCCGAAGAAATATTAATTTTGAGGTCTTCTATAATGCAGTATTCATGCAGTATTTGTAGTAATTACGTTAGCAGAAAGTGTTCTTAGCCTTAAATGTCACCAAAACGTAGGAAAAGAAAGCGTAACTACATAACATAAACAGTCTCACACAAAACTAGTCTATAAATGTCCAGTCAAGCACCTCGCCACCACTGCCACCACCACCGCCACCTCCCCCACCTTTCTTAACAAGTCCGCCTGGAATGTCTCCTGCGTCAATCAGATATCAAATGCCCAGCTTACCTCAGGTCCCACCTTGGGTTCATCAAATTTTTGCGATGCTCGGACACACCTCATCCTCGGTAAATAGAATCAGTAACATTGAAGAAACATTGTATGATCTTTCAATTCTGTCAGTTCGCGTTACCGATCTAGAAAAATCGAAATCTGATGTTTCAAAAGCTGTTGAGGGTATCCGTTCCGTTAACTCGAACATTGAAAATCTGAGGCGTGAAAATGAGGCGATATGGATTGAAAATAAAAGGCTTTCTAATGAAATAACTGATCTACGTTGCCGTAATATGATTGACAACTTGCTCTTTCATGGTATACCCGAAACTGGCTCAGATACGTTCGAAGACTGTAGTGAAATTGTGTCTGATGTATGCGGTGATAAACTTGACATAACCGATGTGAAGCAGAAGCAGAAAAATTAGTGATTCAGCCGTTAGAACAAAAGTTCGTTCCGAAAGTTACAAATTAAAAGATACTAGCATTGGTATAAGCCAACAGTTTCCAAAAGATGTAAATGAACGCCGAAAGCGCCTGGTTCCGCTGATGAAGGGAGCCATACGTCAAAAAAAAGAAAGCCGTCCTTGTAAATGACAAACTATATATAGATGGCGATCGTGTTTATATAGACGACGGAGGTTCTGGTAGGGAGATGTAAACGTCGGTGAAAACGTTCACGTAGGACGGACATGAGAATGCCCGAACAATTTCTTCAACAAAAATATTAGCTTGGAACATATATAAAATATATATATATATATAAACGGTTTGATATAAACGGTGGCCTTAGAGATAAAATTGAAAGTACTAAATTTGTGCAGTTCTTGGAAACTTGTGACAAAGTTTTTCTAAGTGAATGCTGAATAAAAAAGACATTTAAATTTGAAATTGAAGGTTTTCATGAGCCTATAATTATTCCGAGGCAGCGTGCTAAAACAATCCAAGGTGGGGGAATTATATAAAGAACATTTAAAATCAAAAGTTTCTGTCTGTGAAGTACTCATTTATTGTAATTAAAATCGACAAATCTATCATTATAGACAGTGATGAAGATTTATATATTGTTTCGTTTATATACCTCCATATAAATCCAGATTTTATTCGATTTATGAAAATTATGATTTATTTGAACAACTTGAAATACTGCTAGAAAAGTATTCAAGAAAGGGGAAAGTGTTTATTTATGGAGATACAAATAGTCGAACAAGTAATTATGAAGACTTTAAATTTATCTGCCAGGATAATTTACCGAATACATTGTTAACAAACTTAATGTCATAAAGTTTAGATTCAAATCTACAAGTTAGGATTAATCCAGACAATAAAACTAATACATGGGGCCTAAAGCTGTTGATATTATGTAAATCTGCTGGCATGCGTATAGTAAATGGTCGTGATAACGATGGATTTTCTAACAGTTTCACTTTTTGTGGTGCAAACTGATTAAGTGTAAATGATTATTTGATTACGAGCGAAACGAATTTTTACTTAATCCGAATATTCATAGTATGCAGTTTTACAGAACTCTCGGATCATGCACCACTACATTTTGAATTGAAAAGTAACTTGAAAGTTTTTGATCATCAAAAAGAACCTGATGAAAATGAAAAAACAACGTACACATTAAAATGGAATGAGGAAAATAAAGATCAAATGAGAGAGGCTTTTCGTGTTAATTATGACCGTAGAAATTCTTGCCTTGAAGATCTTGATAAAATATCTGAAGCTGGTATAAACATTTGCGTTGAGAAATTTTCCGAAGTCATCACATCGATCACAGAACCGTTCTGCAAAGTTACTTCATCTAGTCCAAAACAATTTCATCATAAAGATCGACGATACAATTTTGACGATAAACCGTGGTTTTCAGATGAACTTAAAGTTTTATATAGAAATTATATGAAAGCTTTTTCATTATTTAATAAACAAAATACTTTTAATAACCATAAGACACTATCAGAACGTAAGAAAGTGTACAAAAAAAAGAACGTATTCTTCGAAGACAATACATTAAAAGTGGAGGTGATATGTTGGAAACATTACGTAAATTAATCCAAAATTATTTTTTTCTAAGTTTAGGAACAGGAAAACGGATATTGAAACCAGTGAAACATTGGTGGATTTCTTTGAACACTTTAAAAAACTTGGAATAGATTTAGATACTTAATCGAATTTTCCTACTGATGAAGTCGATAATACGTGTGTATTTGATGAACTCGATGCCGAAATAACTTGCACTGAAATAGAAAAAGTAATAAGATCGTTGAAACGAAACAAAAGCCATGGATATGATTTTCTTTTGAATGGATATTTTATTGATTTGGTGAATTTCTTCTGCCTTTTTTCGAGAAAATTTTTTAACACAGTGTTGTCGAAAGGTTATTTCCCAAGATCTTGGTGTGAGTCTATAATAATTCCGGTCTTTAAGAATAAAGGAGACAAAAATGACCCAAATAACTTCAGAGGCATTAGTTTACTAAGCAATCTTGCAAAATTATTTACAGCTATTCTAAACAGCAGACTTATACAGTGGGCCCCAAGCAACGACATTCTTACCGATGCACAAATTGGTTTTCGTCAGGGACATGGGACCGGTGATGCTATTTTTGTACTTCAGTCTATAATAACCAAAACATTAGCTACGAAGAAACGTCTCTACTGTTGTTTCGTCGATTATAAGCGAGCCTTTGACAGCATAAATAGAACGATCCTCTGGATAAAGCTGTCTCGCTTAGAGATTCGGAGAAAATTGTTAAACACTTTACGTTCAATGTATGAATCGACAAAGGCTTGTGTAAGATTCAATGGATCGTATTCTGATTTCTTTCAAACAAGGTTTGTCTCCCACAGGGAGAGGTTTTATCGCCGATATTATTCTCTTTATACGTTAATGATTGCGAAATTTCTTTTCTCAAAAACGGATGTGTGCCATATGAACTAGCAGGTCTCAGTCTCTTCTTAAGAGATAACTGTATTGTATTTGAAGCTTTGCGGACGTCCATCGGTAGTTGTACTGTCGCAAATTGAGTTTACCTGGCGACGCGGAGCGGAGACAGGTAAACGGATATTTGCAACAGTACAACTACCGATGGACGTCCGCAAAGCTTCAAATACAATACGGTTATCTCTATTCTAATGCAAGTTCTCCTAACCTAGTGTTATTGATCCAATTTGAATGTTTACAATGTTCATTTCATGGCTATTTACATTATCCACCCGCCAAGAAATAGTTCCTTTACCTGAAGTCCAAGTTAAGCTTGCGTGAATTAATTTTTTATTTCAAAGTATGAGAGGTTAAAAACTATACTTTCAAGAAGATTCTCAATTTATTAAACAAGAAATAATAAAAGTTTTCTACGTAAATTCCAAGTCCCCTCGGATATTTTTAGAATATGATCAAGTGTCATGGCCGATCACGAATTCGGACGAAGGAGATGGAACAACAAAGTCTATGGCTGTGCAGCGTTCCCTGTAATGTTGTAATTGAAGACTTGGACGGTTGAATTATGGACCTCAAACTGCTTGTTATACAGAACAGGTAACGACAGTTGATTGTTAATATGTGTGTTGGTCAAATTCAAACAGTGCGCGTTGAAGGAAGGGGCTGGGTTTGGCGGCAACGGCATTGCATTGGGCTGTGTACAAATTTGCACTGGTGCGGTTGAGCCCGATTTATCACTGCAATTTTCGGAATTGCCAAGTAGAATGGCAGAATACTGCCTCTTCTGTTTCTCGGAGGAGTCCTGATAATAGGATTCCAAACTGGCCTCTGACTTGTGTCCTGTTATTTTCATTATATCTGTCTTTGGTACACCTGATTGTGCCAAAACAGTCACAGTTGTTGCCCTGACACAATGGTTGGGGTAAATCTGACTTAGTCCAGCACTTTTTGATATGTCGACCATCATGTTGTTCAAAAGTCTTTCCCCAACAGGCCTTGAGGTATACCACATCTCGTCCTCGTCATTTACTTTTACTCGAGGTTGTTGAAAGAATATACTTGATGTAGGGTTCCTCTTGGATAGATATTTTGTCAAGGCAGCAACAGGACAGTCAGGCTTTTTTGTTTCGTACATCCTAGGTTTTATAATGTTTTGATTGTCATCTAATCCCCCTTTATGATTTTTTGTTGTCTCACTCACTGCCATTTCTACAAAACGACAACCACAATCATCTGATTTAACAACAAAGGTTTAATCAGTGAAAAACCTTTGGTTTTCCCGGCCCCTCCTTCCAAAACTTAAAACTAGGTCAAACCAGATTTTTCTTTGAAGAGTCTTAGGGTTTTGAGTTGATAAGGCATCTGATGACCTCAGTTTATGCAAATCACCTTCAGAAATGGATGGGTGATGCTTGGTCCTGTCCATTCCTTCCCTCTGAACCTTCTTTATCATGGCCAAAAACATTTTATTTGATTTAAGGAAGGCAGAATCATCAGACAGGATGGAATATGTCTTACTAAAAGATGGTGCCCTAAGGTGTCTATTAATAGATGCCCGGATACCAACTAAAGTACTCTTGGCATAATATTCTCCGTCTGTATTACGGACCTCAGCATAGAATTCAGTCAAGGCACAATTCAATTGTTCAACTGTATAATTTTCAAAGGTTGCATCTTTCTCTCTATCAGTTAACCACTCTGAAATTTAGAATTATGATACATGTATTTGTTATACTTTATATGCATGTGGCAAAAAATCTAGGCCACACTTGTTTCCTATTTATAATAATTTAAAGCAATTTTTTCCAAATTTTATTAAGTAAAGACTGACAGGTAAACTCATTTTGCGACAGTAAAACTTCGGATGGATGTCCACAAAGCTTCAAATACAATACAGTTATCTCTTCAATTTATTTTTTCAATATTCATCTAAAAACTTGCATTTTTTACCAAAAATGTTTTTTGTTGTTAATGTTTTTCATGCGTTCTTGATTCAAGAAAACACTTTTGTTTACGTTTAACAAGGAAAATTTACCTATGACATTGTATGATGTAGCATGTAAATTGTTGAAGAATTTAACATTGTGTAGTGTAATTTTCTTTTTTTAATTTAACATAAAAAAATGGACTAAAATTAACTTCTTTATTTATTAAGTCTCCCAAACGAAGTTTGGAAAGACTTATTGTTTTTGCTCAGTTCTTATTATTATTATTCTTCTTCTTCTTCTTCTTCTTCTTCTTCTTCTTCTTCTTCTTCTTCTTCTTCTTCTTCTTCTTCTTCTTCTTATTCTTCTTCTTCTTCTTCCGCCGCTTTTAAATTTGAACTTGTCCGCACCCGTTCTCCAAAACCGCTTGTCGGATTAACTTAGGGTTTCACAATATGTTAGACTAACATGTCTAGTGGTGCAATCAGGGTTTTGTTTTTGCAATGGGGTTTATAAAGGGGTACTTTGAGGGGCAAAAAGAAAAGAGGGTTTTACTATAGAACCCTATGGGATTTTATTTTTTTAAATTTTCAAATGATTATAAATTGAAAACCGTTCCTGATAGACACAAACTTTTTAATTGAAAATGTTCTAAATGATAAAGCCCATTAAATGAAATACAGGGTTAGTCCCCAGGGGTCACCCCCACCCCCTGCCATTTAAGAAAGTTCTAATACCTTGTAAGTGGTCAAGATCCCCACCCCTAAACCATATATATTCTGGTTTGTCATGCTAAGATGGTTTGAATGATATACAGGGTTAGTCCCCAGGGGTCATCCCCACCCCCTGTCATTTGAGAAAGTTCTAATATCTTGTAAATGGTCGAGATCCCCACCCCTAAACCATATATATTCTGGTTTGTCATGCTAAGATGGTTTGAATGATATACAGGGTTAGTCCCCAGGGGTCATCCCCACCCCCTGTCATTTGAGAAAGTTCTAATATCTTGTAAATGGTCGAGATCCCCACCCCTAAACCATATATATTCTGGTTTGTCATGATAAAGCACATCAAATGTAATACAGGGTTAGTCCCCAGGGGTCACCCCCACCCCCTGCCATTTAAGAAAGTTCTAATATCTTCTAAGTTGTCAAGATCCCCACCCCTAAACCATATATATTCTGGTTTGTCATGCTAAGATGGTTTGAATGATATACAGGGTTAGTCCCCAGGGGTCATCCCAATCCCCTGCCATTTGAGAAAGTTCTAATATCTTGTAAATGGTCGAGATCCCCACCCCTAAACCATATATATTCTGGTTTGTCATGATAAAGCACATCAAATGAAATACAGGGTTAGTCCCCAGGGGTTACCCCCACCCCCTGCCATTTAAGAAAGTTCTTATATCTTGAAAGTGGTCAAGATCCCCACCCCTAAACCATATATATTCTGGTTTGTTATGCTAAGATGATTTGAATGATATACATGGTTAGTCCCCAGGGGTCATCCCGACCCCCTGCCATTTTAGAAAGTTCAAATATCTTGTAAATGGTCGAGATCCCCACCCCTAAACCATATATATTCTGATTTGTCATGATAAAGCACATCAAATGTTATACAGGGTAAGTCCCCAGGGGTCACCCCCACCCCCTGCCATTTAAGAAAGTTCTAATATCTTCTAAGTGGTCAAGATCCCCACCCCTAAACCATATATATTCTGGTTTGTCATGTTGAGATGGTTTGAATGATATACAGGGTAAGTCCCCAGGGGTCATCCCGACCCCCTGCCATTTGAGAAAGTTCTAATATCTTGTAAATGGTCGAGATCCCCACCCCTAAACCATATATATTGTGGTTTGTCATGTTGAGATGGTTTAAATGATAAACAGGGTAAGTCCCCAGGGGTCATCCCGACCCCCTGCCATTTGAGAAAGTTCTAATATCTTGTTAATGGTCGAGATCCCCACCCCTAAACCATATATATTCCTATTTGTCATGTCTCGAACATTTGAATGACGTATACGGTCAGTCCCCAGGGGTTCCCCCACCCCCAATGTTCTAATATCTTGTAAATGGTTGAGATCGCCACCCCTAAACCATATATATTCCTGTTCGTCATGTAATGAACATTTGAATGACGTATAGGGCCAGTCCCCAGGGGTTCCTCCCCACCCCCAATATTCTAGTATCTTGTAAATGGTTGAGATCCCCACCCCTAAACCATATATATTCTGGTTTGTCATGCCAAGATGATTTGAATGATATACAAGGTTAGTCCCCAGGCATCACTAATGCATATAACTTTACTGGACCAAACCAATTTTCACTGGACATTGCCCAATGTCAGGTGACCCTGGGAATTACGAATTATGGGAGCTTCGTTTGGGAGACTTCGTAACAGCATCCTGTTACAATCATTTCTTGTTTTCCAGGTGCTAGATAAAAATGGAAGTCTCGAAAACTCCGTAAAACTAAGCAGCATGCAAATGATGTACATGTAACATACAATTACAACACATGATTCAATTGAATGTGGGAAATACAAATAAAAGGCAATATTGGAAGACGAGACAGAAGAAAACATCAAAATGTTTATATCGTTTTTTTGACAACAAAATCTGTAAATAGAATGGACCAGTTGCTCAAGATAAAGTGTTATGAAACATGTGCATATACATGTATGCTAATTGCCATTATAGAAAGTGAGGAAGTTTTATAATTGGTAGTTGAATTGATTGTGGATTTCAAGGCATCTAATACTATTAGGAAGATACTTGTGCAAACATGATGTTGGGATGTATAACGGTATTTTTAATTCAGCAAATTTCATGAAATTATTAGTGAACAGAAATGTTCATCTTATGCATGCGGAAATATAAGACGAAAACATAATGTAAAATTGTACAATAAACACTCGCAATTGCACCCATTTAGCGTTTGCAATGTAAAAAATTTAGTTTTTTGGACGGGATTCCATGACCAAAATAGACAGTAAGCAGTGAAAGTGGATAGCTGGATAGATTTTGATTATGACTATATTTCATTCCTTTGTCTTATTTTTTTTTGAAGAGGAAAAGAAATATATACAAATCTTTATACATCAATTTATTTTTATTTTTACACATACGCCTAAATATCTTCACTCCATATTTTGTGTTTTTCTTGGTTGATTTACTAAGCGCCTCATCAAGTATATTTTCTTTGTCATCAGCTGATAGTTTCGGGAACCTCCCAGTTGGCTTTTCTTTGTTTTCTTCTGTTGTTATACCTTCAACAACCTCCATCATTTCAATTAAGTCTTGGTCTTTTTCTGGTTCATTCACTAGTTCCACTGTAAAAAAATATGACTAGGGTCAAATTATTAACTGGCTATTTATTTGTCAATTAACGTGTACACTTTTTTAAAATTAATTTTTTTCTATTCAAGAAGCCAGAAAACGCCTGGTTTTTATTTTGACACGGGAAGCATACTTATGACGTCACTTAGTTTAGGGACCAAAGAAAGTAACATCTTTTCACGGAATTTTCTTTAATGAAAATTTTACTCTGAAATAATGATTGAAATTTAATTATGAATTTGTTTTGCATTAGAAAAGAGATATCTGTATTCTAATGTAATTATTTTGTATCAATGGTTCTGATTGGATGACAGTAAGCGTAAAATTCTCTATCTCCCTGTCTGTAACTAAAGAAGCCAACATTTTGAATTGCGGAATGTATTGACATGTCATTTCTACAATAATAAGCAAAAAACTCGCATGTTGCACCTAGAAATCTTCTTTTTTATGAAATTTTATTACATTCTGAAGCGGTCAAGAAGCCAGAAAACGCCCGGTGTTTACGTTTGACGCCAGAAGCATACCTATGACGTCACCTAGTTTAGGGGCCAAAGAAGATAACATCTTTTCGCGGAATTTTCTTTAATGAAAATTTTACACTGAAATAATGATTGAAATTGAGTTATGTACTTGTTTTACATTAACATAGAGATAACTGTATTGTATTTGAAGCTTTGCGGACGTCCATTGGTAGTTTTACGGTCGCAAATACCCGTTTACCTGTCTCCGCTACGCGTCGACAGGTAAACTAAATTTGCGACAGTAAAACTACCGATGGATGTCTGCAAAGCTTTAAATACAATAGAGTTATCTCTTAATTTGAAACTTTGCGTTATCTCCTGAATAACCCCTTTAGCACCTCCCCCCCTTTTTCCCCCAAAGGCAAACCCCAATTTGATTTGACATAGATCCCCCCCTTTTTCCCTAAAGGCAAAGATCATTTTAATTTGACAGAAGAAGTAATAAAAAGGTTGAAACAACTGACAGTGATCAATTTTAGAACATGCATTTTTAAGGGAAAGTGAATTATGAAGTGCAAAAACAAAGAAAGCCTGAATGGTTCCCGTTTATTGTTACGGGATGTTGGTTGTTAAAAAATGATTGACATGCTCAAGGAAGAAATGATGGTGAAGTATAAAAGGGTCAAGGTATAAGCTGTGCAGATTAAAATCTGCTTAGAAATTGTTCATTCGAAACCTACAAGCAACTCCATCAGTTGTATCATCACCAAAAACACCACTTGTGTTTACGTCGTCTGCTGTAAATTCCTCTGGCACTGCCGTAGGTTGTTGATCAGAGTCTGACACTTCCCTATTATTTTCTTTGGAAACATTTAAATCAGTTGACTCTAAACCTTCCAGTATATCTGCTTCCAAGTCAAAATTTGGCATTAACGGTCCCAAAAGATCCAGGTCATCCAGATCTGACATGTGAAAATCGTCATCTGACGTAGCCATTGTTATTGTTGTGCGAAGTATTTATGTCACAAGATTCATACGCAAGGAATTTTGTGAAGCGGCTCCGACGGGTACATTGTCATTGTACGCTTGACAAGAGCCAATGAGAAAGCGTGTTACATAAAGATTGCATTAGAATTATTAATGTATGCGGACGATATGGTGTTATTTGCGGAGTCACCGGAACGTCTACAATCTATGTTTGATTCTTTAGAACACAACAAATTTCGATTTAACTGTAAATATTGATAAGACAAAAATAGTTATATTCCGAAACGGGGGTAATATTAGAGAAGACGAAAAATGGTTTTACAACGGCAAAAGCATAGAAATAGTGGACAAGTTTTGTTATCTAGGATTTATTTTAAACTTCAACGGAAAATTTACAAATGCACAAAAGATACATGCTGAACGAGGAAAAAAAACCGATGTTTGCACTGCTTTCTGATTGCAGAAACTGTTATCTGAACGTACATACTTTGTTGTCACTTTTTGGTATTTACGTTGGTAGTGTTTTAACTTATGCCTGTGAAATCTGGGGATTTTCAGAAGCAGATGAAATCGAAAAAGTCCATTTATATTTTGTAAAAGATAACTCGGAGTGAAGCAATCAACCAATTCTGCTATGGTGTATTTTGAGCTGGGACGTATTCCCTTAATAGTGAAACGTAAACTGCAGATTTTTAAATATTGGCTCAAATTTTTGAACACAAATAACTGTATTCTGAAAGGTGTCTAGGAGGATCTTAGAGCTTCTTGTGCAAATATCAGTCGCAGGTCGATTAAGGATGAATTACACAACATGGGACTAGGTGAATTGTGGCTACGCAAGACTGAACTGACATTTGAAAACGCTTTTTCACTAACAAAACAGCGTCTAATAGATATAAAATCACAACAATTATATTCCTTGCTGGAAAACAGTAGCAAGTGTGTTATTTACAGAAATATAATCACAAACCTAGATTTACAATATTACTTGACTACATTTATTCCTCCTCTATACCGGAAGGCTATTACAAAAATAAGACTATCTTCACATTAATTAAATATTGAGACTGGTCGTTTTCTAAATGTACCTGTAATGGATCGTTTATGCAAAGTATGTGGTCAATGTATTGAGGACGAGTTCCACTTTAGTCTTGTGTGTTCGGCATATAGAGACTTGCGGGCAAAGTTTATAAAACAATACTACTGGTATAGACCAAGCGTATTTAAACTGATACAGTTGTTTACTCTACAAAATGTTAAGCAGTTGACTTTTTTGGGAAAATTTATTATCCTGGTTTTTAAAATTAGGGACAGTATTTTACAAAAATAATTAACATTCTCTGTCCACATGTTTTATTGCAATTATAACTTGTTATTTCTTGTTTACACCGATGAGCTGTAAAGCTTAAGGTAATAAAGTATAATAATTGTCATTATTTACAAACAATTTCAATCAACTCCACTGTATTGCCAATCTGAATTGACCACAGTTAATATCTCTTGTGCTACATAATTTAACTTGAATATACACTTCATTACACAGCTAACTAAATAATACACTTGACCTCAATAGTATACCTATAATCAATTTTGATCTACACTACATAAAATTATTATGTACATTATGTCTCAAAGATGAATGATTAAGGATTAAAAAGAAGCATTCTTTTGCAAGAAAAAACAAAATATGTATTAAAATGCAAGCAGGGTCTATTTTACTTAAAAGTAAAATCAATGTTATAATCATCTAATTTAGGTTAATTAAAATTACAATTATAATTAATTTGATGGAAACAATAAAGAAATATGCAGAACTCTGACCTGGGCATTTATTTGTTTATTCCCCATTATATTGCTATTGAACAGTGTAAGATATTTGTACATTTATCTGTGTCTCAATGAAGAATGAACAATTTAAAATAAAATAGTCATTAATTTTTGTTGTTGAAAAGTGCATTTTTCTGGAAATTAGTAAGTCAAACTATAATAAAAAAATATTCTACACCTTCCTTTGAAGATTTCTATTTCCAATCATCATGATCATGTCAAAATCATTTAATTGAAGAAAAAAAAAAAGATATTAAAAATCAGCACCCCTTCTAAAAATTGAAATATCAAAAGAATTTGTATCATGCTTGAAAAATTCTCTCTTAGTGGTATCATGAAAATGAAATAAAACTCTTCATCTTCAGTGACATATATTTTTTTTATATAAAAAATCAATAAGTGATCCTAAGATGAGTTAGATGAATTGCATACCAATGTTTACACTTAGAAATATTTCCAAAAGCAACCATTTTACAAGTAAATTTAGGGAGACAAGCTTGTTTTATTAACTGGAAAAAAAATTATCTTTCTGAATTTAATGCAAGAGTGATATATCAAGTTATTTTTTGTTCAATACCTGGAAATATGATTTGAAATTATGCACACAACTCGTCCAGTCAGTGATTTCGATTACTTTGATTGTCAGAAGTCATTTAAAAGAAGTTCATTGGTAATTTTTAGTGGAATAATTATGAAAATGATGATGTCGTTCTAAATTTCAACCCTTATGTTGTCTCTTTTTCAGTTCCTTGGTTTCTTCTCAGTTAAAAGTGTTGACACAAGTTAGAACATTTTTGGCTAAAATCACTTATCCCAAGTTGCGATGTTTGTCTCTATATAAATGTCTTACAGAAGCTTTATATAAAGAAAGAAATATTACTGTGACTTGACTGTAAGTGTTGCTCTCCACCTATTGCAACTTATTCAAAATTCTGACCAAATTGCAATTTGTTTTATAAAACCAAACTGTTCAACTGGTCAGAAATTTGAACAAAGTGCTGTAGAAAACCACAGTCAAGTCGTGAAAGTGCAAGGTGATAACATATTGCATACTTACAATCCTATAAGACTTTAATTCCACTTCAATGTTATTATGAAAAAATCATTCTAACAGTTTGTATAGAAATTTTATTGTTATTGTCATGCTTAAGGTGATGGGTAGTAATTTTGAATTGCTATAAAAATGACCAAACTAAGCTTTCATACAATTTTTCTTTCAAAAAGTCTTCTTTATTCATAAGAATCAGACATCACCTTAAGCATGACAATAACAATAAAATTTCTATAAACTGTTATACTGATTTTTCATAGTAACATTGAAGCGGAATTAAAGTCTTAAAGGATTGTAAGTATGCTTTAGTTTATCACCTTGCACTTTCACGACTTCAATGTGGTTTTCTTCAGCAGTTTGTTCAAATTTCTGACCAGTTGAACAGTTTGGTTTTATAAAACAAATTGCAATTTGGTCAGAATTTTGAATAAGTTGCAATAGGTGGAGAGCAACACTAACAGTCAAGTCACGGTAGGTTATCTCCCATGAAAACTTTTAAACAACGTATTGTAATTTCACATATATCTTACTGAATATAAGATGTTTTAATTCAAACGATGTCTGATTCTTATGAATATAGAAGACTTTTCGAAAGAAAAATTGTATGAAAGCTTAGTTTGGACATTTTTATAGCAATTCAAAATTACTACCTATCACCTCTTGCATGACAATTCCAATACAATTTGTATACAACTTGTTAGACTGATTTTTCATAATATCATTGAAGTGGAATTAGTAAAGTCTTATAGGATTTTAAGTATGCTTTATTTTATCACCTTGCACTTTCACGACTTGGCTGTGGTTATCTACAGCAGTTTGTTCAAATTTCTGACCACTTGAACAGTTTGGTATTATAAAACAAATTGCAATTTGGTCAGAATTTTGAATAAGTTGCAATAGGTGGAGAGCAACACTTACAGTCAAGTCACAGTAACAAGGTATTGTAATCTCACATATATTTTACTGAATATAAGATGTTTTATTTCAAATGATGTCTGATTCTTATGAATATAGAAGACTTTTCGAAAGAAAAATTGTATGAAAGCTTAGTTTGGTCATTTTTATAGCAATTCAAAATTACTACCCATCACCTCTAGCATGACAATTACAATAAAATTTCTATACAAACTGTTAGACTGATTTTTCATAGTAACATTGAAGTGGAATTAAAGTCTTATAGGATCGTAAGTATGCTTTATTCTATCACCTTGCACTTTCAGACTTGACTGTGGTTTTCTACAGCAGTTTGTTCAAATTTCTGACCAGTTGAACAGTTTGGTTTTATAAAACAAATTGCAATTTGGTCAGAATTTTGAATAAGTTGCAATAGGTGGAGAGCAACACTAACAGTCAATTCACAGTAAAAATGAGTTAAAAAAATGTTCGACTTACTGACTTACTGTGGCTAAAAAAAATGGCTGGATCACAGCACCAATACTAATTTGATTTAAATACAGCAAAATTTACGTATAAAATTACATATGTGCTGTTTCTTTCAGGAAAATGTATAAACTAGTGAATCAATGGTTTAAAACTACCAGGATGTAATGAGAGATGTCAAGTAATGAACAAAAGAAGTAACACGAAGTTAGACAATACAACTTGAGGTGCTAGATTTTGTGCTATTGTTATTTGCAGATATATTGATGGATTTTGTCAAAATGTGAACTGGGATCAAATGTGTTATTTTGTAGAAAAGATCCAGCTGTGTTCCATTATTTCCCCCGAAATGGTGAATTTAAGAATTAAATTTTCATATCTATTTATTGAGATTATTGCTGCATAAAAAGAGGGTTTTGTGCTTCTTTACAACATATTTTGTCATAAATTGATTTTATATCTTTTTGTGACAGTTAATGTTGATTATTAGGTCCCAGTTGTTGACATGTGTAGTAGTATATAGTAATCTCTCTGTTCGTCTGTCTGTCAACACTTCTATGTCGTATGATAAGTCAAGATTGCCTAAACCGATTAAAAAAAATTAATATGCAAAGTGGAAATAAATATAAAAGGAAGATCCCTTGTGTATTGTAAAATTTGGGAAGAAATGCGGTAGAAAACTTGGCATTTGTAAAAAAATCACAAATTTTGAGAAAACATTTTTGGGGCTAAAATTTCCACAAAATTTGATACGAACGCTATGATATGCTTTTCAAAATTGATTCCCAATGTTAAATATTGATTTGTGTTATAATTTGGGGACTTTGTTTTTTTGTCTTGCGTGAAACGCGAGTCAGTGGGGTTACAATCCAGTGACAGCGTAAAATATTTGCATACAGCTTTATATTTCCGCGAGTACAAGCCTTTAATGATTCATAGTATACAAATACTTTTTGTTACGAAGTTTCCATCTGTTACATGTCCATTGTACTTGACGTCATTTTCATGGTTCAGAGACTTTTTCAAATTTTTTTTTAGTTTTTATACGACTGCAAACTTTGTGTGGTCGGATAATGGTATGACACTGTCGTCGTCGACCGTAGCTAGACATTTGGTTTCCAGACAACAACTAGAGTATAAGTGTATGTATCTCTATGATATTGTACGTCAAGCTTCCATACCACAAAAGGAAGGTTTGGGGGTTATTGTCCTAACTGTTTGGGAATTATGGGCCAAAGACAAGCATTTTTCTTGTTTAAGGACAATAACTTGTTTATAAGTGTGTGGATCTCTAAGAAATTATACCACAAGGTTCCATACCTCACAAGGAAGGTTGGGATTGATTTTGGGGGTTATGGCCCAAGCAATTTAGGAATTTGGGACCAGAAAACAAGGATTTTCTGGTTTCCGGACAATAACTTCAGTATAAGTCTATGGATCTATGGAAAATGTACCACAAGGTTTATACAAAAAAAAAGAAGGTTGTGATTAATTGTGGGCGTTATGGCTCTTACTGTTTAGGTAAAAAGGGACCAAAAACAATACTTTTTTAATACTTTGTATAAATGGCTGATTTCTTGACCAATTATACTGGTGTTTAATTCAAAGTATTGAATTCTTGGGGTTATTTAGTATGCTGAATCTAACAGTATATTTAGATTTTGGGTTTTGTGCCCCATTTTTAAATTGGTCCAAATTGAGGTCCAATACACTATCACTAGAATAGAATGTAGTCATTCATTGAATAAACATTTACCTATCAGGTTATAACGATGATTTGCTACACCACCGTTATACATATATTGATATGATAAAAAAGCAGCAATCCAGATTATAATGATGGTCAGATGATGCATATAAGTGACGTTAGTATTACAGCAAGATTAAAATCCCTGTCATTAATTCCTCAACCAACAGATCTTGATGTCAGTATTTTGGTTTTCTATTTTTATATACATTACTTTTACTATATAACATTTTAATAGGGGAGGTAGGGTGGGTAGTTGTCTGGGGGTAAGTAGAAAACTTCATTTAAAAAAATTTAGTTTGAAAACAAATTTAGAATTTCATATCATTCATTTTTTACTTACCACCTAAAAAATATACATACGGATAGATTACATAGTCTTGCCTCTCTAGTGGTAGGGTAATTTTCTATGGATCTTCAACTCTACATTCTTGGTTTAATCTTTACTTCATACTACTAGTTCATTTTTAAAACATTCATCTGTACACTATACAGATAACAAGAAAAGTTTGCCTACATCTTTTCTGATTTCGATGGTACGTTTCAATTATATAGCAATGGCTCTTTTATGATCAAGCTTTTTATTATGTTCAAAATGTGACACAATCTTTTTGTTCCATAATGATTTAGTCTATCTTGTTTTGACAACTGGTCTCAAGAAAAAAAAACTTACTTCTGTACATTCACAAAACCCTCTCCAATTCTCAGTGCTTTAATGTCCGAACATCTCCTGAGCGTTGTGATTGCTGTAAGAAAAACAAACTTTATAAGTGAAAATTGCATATCAACTTTCAATAAAGATTCAAAATGGGACTTTTGCAAGATGTTCAAAACTTTTTGCAAATCCCATTCTGGGACTATATATAGTTTAAGATGGTGGTAGTAAAGAAGATAACAAGGACCTAAAACCTCCTATAGTGCGATATTGCGAACATGAAGTGTACACATGAGACAAAACATCTGCACAGTCTGCTGGAGTAGCTACATAGAGATGTTTTTTATTTCGACCAAAACGCAGCTTTTGTACCATATCTTTTCTTTAGCAAACTTTCTACTGTCGGCATATTAAAAAATTCCTGACAACTTGCATCTATTGGTAAATTTTGCCTTTAATTTTCCCTATAATTAGTAATTTTGTGGAGGGTCTCTGATCTCCAAGATCCACATAAAACGTCGATCTGGTTTTGTTCGAGAACTAGACCTGTTTTTTTTTCACTCCATAACGAGGCATAAGCGTTAAAATCAAACTTGTCACCAAGTGTATGGCTCACAGTCATATCATGCTTCTATATTTCACAAGATTTCTCATTGTTGTTTGTAAAATATTTGTGGAACCTGTCATGTTAACTAGATTTCATTAAAACTGACTTACTGTCACAAGTATTGACCTCATCAGAACTTCTAGAATTCTCAAAGCCTTCTGCACTGAAAAGAAAGCCACTATTTTGACGTTCCGAATCAAAAATTCGAACAGATGGGTCAACATCCTTATTGCGACTCAAATTTAGGAACGGAAGGAACTCAAAAGTAGTACGTTAAAAAAAAATCTGTGAAGTGATATTGGACATGTTTCAATTTTTAACAAGTGACTCAGCTTAACTATTTGTGCTGATTTAGAGAGCATAGAATAAAGATGTAAAAACTATGGAGTTATTTAATGTATGCAAAGAACTAAATTTTCAAAGAACTTATTGTGTGAAAAAAGGGATTTTTTACACCGAGAAGCCGCATCACAAAAGGCTTTTCGGTGTAAGCTAAATTACAGAAAAATAAATCTCACTTCGTACCCCGAAAATTGAACCACATATGTGAAAATGTCTCAGCTTCGAAACAAGCCATCATACATATCTAAGTTTACGAAATGGGCAGAGGAATTGAGAAATAGGCTACCATTACCGCCTACCTGAAATGAATTGCGCATTTTGACCCAGATAGTGTTTCTACATCATCACCGTTATTTTGTTGCACATCAATTGCGCTGTTATATGCCTCGACTGTGACCGTGTTATGATTCTAATGTTCCGACCTTGAAACTTCATTTTCGGTGTCAGTAAGCTTGCCTTGTAGTAAATCAAATAATTTACCCATTCTCGTACTAGTGGACTAGATTGTTTGTCCTGTACTTCAATTCTTGTCATCATGCTACTTTCTTAGTCTGACAAATCATCTTTTTTTACTACGAAAAGAACGTTGTTTTCCTTTTTCTCCAGGAGCGGAAGTAACTTTATTAGAGACCACTGAATTATCCTCTTAGACAGAAGCAGTTTCTTCCTCATCATAAGAATCAGAGCCTTCTCTTCTCATGATTGTAAAATTTGGAAAAATAAATAACTTAGTAACCATTTTTAACGTTGAACTCTGACGCAAAAAATTAAACTGAAGTGGGTACATGTTAAGTGAAGCTTGTAGGTGGCGTAGTTCCGTTTGTGAGTATTGCTGTCAACTAGATGTTTTATTTTAATTGCGAGGTCTGGATAGTAAACAATATGTATATATCTAAGGTGGTAAGTAGAAAATGATAGAGAATCCTCCTGGCCCTCAAAAGGTCGTCCCCTTGACGTATTCAAACATACAAAATCGTGTCGGACTCAGAACTTTTTAATGCATTGAATGATATCAATAATACTTGGCATTATTTTTTCCCTTCACTATAAGGTTGGAATATCTGTCTCAAATGTGAAGGTCACAAACTTTACATCAACCTCATATTGAAATAAAAAGTCGTGTCTGCTATGAAAATGTTGAAGGATATATCTAATACTAATTATTTTTGTTGCCGACTTCTGTATCACAACGGGCTCTTCAAAATTTGCTAAATTATTGACAATCTTATCTCGCATTATACCCCAAATAAAAGAGCTGATAGCTCTGAGGTGGAAGAAGATACATGCTATGTGTCATTGTTGTTTTCGACGTAATTTTTTCCTCCAAAAATATTATACTCACACATGTCTCCACCAAAACAGATTAGACTAAACATTAAAATCTCCTAATATTGATGATTCAAATTAAATTTTCTATAATTCCATACATTGCATCTCAGCATGTTCAACTTGAGGGATGCAAATATACCAGGAATTGATTAGGATTCACTTGAAAGTTTTTCTGTCGAAGGTGGTTATTTTATCAAAAAAATAATTTCCTTGTGTCAGACAATTGGACTGACATTGCAACATATGTCAGATATTTTAAAATTTTATCGTCTAATGATCTGAACTGAATATGTCCCAGCCCTTACTGTATCGTGAGAGCAAAAAAAAACAAACATTGAAACTGATTAATTAAGAGTGGGTTTATTTCAGGGACTGAGCCTAGACTCCGAATCACAGTTTCTATCCATTGGAAGGTCGACTATCAATATGTTATAGATTAAACAAAACACATGCGCCGTGATGAAAACATGAAAAAGGAACGAATAACCAATTACGTTTTTGTAGTTTATACATCGTTATGCAAAAGCTGGTTCCCGGTTGACATTCACTTTCTTCATTCCGTTAAATACAAGCGGATCCCAGTTTATGTTATGCAATGCTATAAAAAGAAACGAGAAATGTGTAATGAAGCATTTAATTTTGATATTATTTATCAGTTTATATTGGATTTTAAATCAAAATAGCATATTAATATGGATTAGGTAAATTATTAGTTTTGAAAATAATAAGGGTGCCCTCTACAATTGCAATAACAAACATAGCGAAACGAAAACAATCCTCGCGAAATCGAGTTTTTCTCTTCTTTCTTGCTTTACGTACACTATATTCCACATCCTATACAAGCCCGAATTCGGGTAACTGTACATTTGTTTCTCTGTCTTTGTTTCATAAAGTGATGCAGACGCTATTTTACAAACTTGTTACCGATCTACAAATCGGTGTCGAGATTAGGCATGGATGTTATAAAATTGTAAAGCACAGAAAGGGATACGGAAACACTCCTGGAAACGTTCTATGTTTAGACTTGACCATCCAGCAGTACTGTAAATTCAGAAATTATTGCGAGGTTTTTATTATTGCGAATAATGCGACTTGGTGAGTATCGCAATAATATGAACTCGCATTCTGATATCTGATGCACATAACTGTATGCATATTTTCCTGAAATCGCAATAATTAATCTCGCATTGATGTCCATTCTTCAATAATCGCAATAATAAATGCACGCAATAATTTCTGAATTTACAGTATTTGATTTCAGAAGACTTGAACGTCTTCTTCCACCAAAAACGGAACAACATGTGCGAAAAAATATCTCAAATTAGAAATAAACCATCATAAAAATCCAACATAAAGATAAGGAGATGTTGTATGATTGTCAATGGGATACATATATATATACAACTATCCACCTGAGTCCAAATGACGAAGATGTAAACTACTATTTGACACTGTACGGCCTTCAACAATGAGCAAACCTTTACTATATATTTTGCTTCAAAAGGCTCTGACATGACAAAATGAGAAACAATAGAAAAGAGAAAACCAACAGCCTAATTGGATGTTAGAAATAATATATTGAACAAATATGGCAGACAACCAAAGACAACCACTTAATTACAAGCTCGCGACATGGGACATGCTCATAAACAATATTGCGGGATCAAACTCAACCCTTTCCTAACCTGGGACAGTTGTAACTGTACAACATAAGAACAAACTATATAGTTGATACAGGCTTCACTCGTCAGATCGGCACTAAGCACACTCAAAACTTTTACAAAAAGACCAATAAACATACAAGGTACCTTTCTAAGAATACAAAGCGCTTTATACTAAAAATGTGCACACGTTCAACGCTTTTACACCCTATAAAGTACAGAAGAAATATGCAATTCTGATAATTACATTCTTATGATACAACCACGAAATTGCTATTTAAATCAAGCCTTCCTTTTTTTCTTCTGTGCATTTATTAAGGTTGTCATGGACAGCACGTGCAGTCATAATTGTTGCATTTTATACGGAAATAAAATATATAACCTTTGGAATGGCTCGGCCAATCAAAATTGTGGGATCGTATGAAATGTAATTATTTACGTATAAACATTGTTTGAGGTACTTTTCACGGTATTTTTTATTAAGTTAATTTATTTCAGATGAAATCAACATCAACAATATTACGGGTGAAAATGAAGTTTGTGAAGGTCAACATATGTATGTGAATGTTTCTTACAATGGAAGGTAATGATATTCTATGAATAAAAAGATGCATTGATAGATGAAAATAAGTCTGAATTGACGACCGAGATAAAACGAAGGAAAAGATCTATCAAACATAAGATCTCTTGTTTGTACCTGTCCCAGCCAAAAAGACTTAAGAGTTTTTGCCAGTCCAGTAAATGTAGGGTCATTAATGTCTTATTCTCATTTTTAGCTCACCAGACCCATAGGTTCAAGTGGGCTTTACTCATCACTTGGCGTCTGTCGTTCGTCGTAGTCGTCCGTCGTCGTCGTCGTCCATTATCTTTCCATAAAATCTTTCCTCTGAGGCCGACATGGCTAAAAATAGAGCATATGGATAAAATGTAAAGTTTGTTTATTATCTTGAAAACCGCTTGAAAATATAATAGATAGAGAGAAGCTTTAAATAGCAAAATTAATCAGCAAGTCGGGATCTACAAATACGTATAATGGCCTCCTTATTGGAGTTCTTGCTCTTTGGTGACGATTTTAACCATTTTTTTGCGTTTTTGCCTATCATCTTGAAAATCATAAAAGATAGAGAGACACTTTAAATAGCAAAAATGATCAGCAAGACAAGATATACAAATCAGTAAAATTTTACGGAAATCGTAAATAGACTCCTTATAGGAGTGATTGAACTTAAATGACGATTTTTTTACCCTTTTTGTATTTTCGGCAAAAAACTGCAGAAGATAGCGAGAAACTGTAAAATGAAAATATGATCAGCAGTAAATGATCAACAAAAAAGAATTGTTTGTCATGAATTCTATTCTTGTCCACAATTTTGGTGAGTGTCCTTGTTGAAGATGCACATACCTAGGTAAGCGACACAGGGTCTATAGAGTCTCTAGTTTGAAATATTTAACAAATGATTCTATATTATAATATGTGGAAATATGATTGAACAAGTTCGCTTTATCATACCCATTTTTTTCTTTAGTTGTTATAAGATGAGGTAAAGGCATTTCTTTCTCTTTCTCTAATATTGAAATTTTAATATAATTTGATTGAATATCCATAGTCACAATATTTCAATGGATTGAAATATAAACAGTCTTGACAGTCAATATGATAATTCAATAAGAAAAATTAAGGATGGAAGTTACAAAAACATTTGAGTAGACAGAAACTGCCTTTACATTGCTCCTGTGCTTTGATTTATCTTTTGACATTGACATGATTTTTAATAGCTTGATAGTGTATGAAGAAAATGTATTGTGAATCACCGCGACCTTCGTGTGACCATGACCTTATTCCCTCTAATTCAAAATTATAGATTTTTCAAATATGTAGTAACATAATTGATCTTTTCTAAAATTGTCATAACTATAGTCACTTTGTCATGTCTAATTTGTCAGATTAAAAAAAAATATTTATCAGGTTTATTGTATTTACAGCAATCCAACAGAAATATGTTGGCATGTAATGCATGTAAATGAAAGTTTTAACTGTACATGGCTAAAGGGAAACGAAAACAGATATACAATAGACTTACCCACTGGCCATGAGGAAGGCACATACAAACTAAATATTACCATGAAAAATGATGTTAGTTTGGCTTATGCTCAGATATCTTTCACAGTGATAAATGGACATAAAGGTTTGTAATCTGACGCTTTGTTATCTTGCCACTTTTTGTGCGTATGTATACAAATTTACATATTTTAAAAGTTCTAGTTTTTGTGGTATACAATTTTCTTATTTCAGTTATTTTCATGTCTCCATAATTTGATAATTTGATATATTCTGCTGTAATTTCACTTTATGTCATGCTAGGGCAAATGTTGGGAAACGACACCTAGGCCTTTACAATCTGGCAGTGCTTTCTTTTATACTAATTGTTACGTTTTCTGCTTATGTGTTCATTTTGGAAAAGTGCTTATGAATTAACCATTGATACTTGATATACACGTATCTAGGTGAAACTGGACGATATTTATCTAAACGCACGCAAGAACACCTGTATCGTTTTAAAAGACCCAATAAATTCAAAAGTATCATTTATCAACATCTTAAAAAGCACAATCATCCTATTAAATATTTAACAGTTCAACCTTTAGAAGTAGTAAATAAGCAGCCTGGTGAATCTCATTCAAAGTTTGTACGATCACGGAAAATAATTGAATGAAATTGGATTAAAAAATTACAGACAGTCTACCCTCTCGGTCTTAATGATAATATCATGGGAATTGGTAATATATCAAGAACCGATTCTGTTAACATTTTGGATACAGTTTCTAAAACTGATCGTAAAAACCGTTCTCATGGGCGTAGAAAAAATCGCAATCAAAGAAAATTTCGGACCAATCGTACAAATATTTCGGACCTTATTTCTATTTCAAAAAACAACGGCAGACATTATCTATTAACCAAGCTCTGTTCTTTACCTATAAATAAATTAAATAAAATTTTAGAGGATTGCAACACAATTTCATATTGCAGTCCTAAGTATGAAATCGTTCAAATTATAATGGCATATTGTTATTCTAAACTGTTTCCCAAAATTGATCGCCCTGAAGATCATAAAAAAACATTTTATTAAAATAAAGTATGTCAATAAAGGTTTTGATTTTGTAAATATTGCCGGTATTTTTAACGACCATTCTGTTAAAGAACAAATTCCTGGATATTTTGATAAACCTGAACTCCCTCTTATTTGTTATATTTACAAGAAATCTACCCGGAAATTTGTGTTTAATTATAGCCAAGTCTGTAAAGATGTAAATATCAGTGAAAATACACCTACGTCATGTAATTGTAGTACTTCCAAATACACTTATGGCCCCATTTCCCATGTTATAACAGGAGACCTTAACATCGTTTGCGACCGAGAGTTAAAATCATTCCTCAGTAAAGGACCTAAATATCGTCCCCCGTCAATTATTAATTGGAATGAGTGTCGTAATATCATCCACGACTCACTTCGTGCTTACTTTTTGAAATGGATAAAACGGGAAAAGCTGACAAAAAATCTTTGGACTCTTTTTTTAATTCAGTAATGAAGATAGTTGATATACGTAAACAACATTTTAAAGAACATTTTACTCTTAACAACAACCATAAAAATCCTATTTCTCGTATCAAACATAAACTAAAAGAACTAGCCAAGGAATTTGTTTTTGTCTCGGCTGATAAAGCTGCTAATAATATCATTATAGTTTGACGTAAATTTTACATTGAGGTTCTGCAAAAGGAAATCACCAATTCACCAACATTCCAACTGACTTCATTTTCAGAAAACGATATCTGTAACAAACATAAACTATTAGCTACTTCTTTGCAAGCAGAACCAAATACAATGAAAGTCCCAACTATGTACTGGCTTCCGAAGCTACACAAATCACCTTACAAATATAGATTTTCGTCTTCAAGTCATTAGTTTAAACATATTTTATTGTTCAAAAATGACAAATGGATTAGACACAAGTTTTTCAACTTAGTAACGTCTTCTTCAAGTCATTGTTCCACTACTAAATTGTCTATTCTTACTAGTACACTTGGTACAATCAAAAACCTGATAATAAATTGTTCAAATAAGGCCTTTGAAAATAGTGGAATCAATTACTTTTGGAGTGTCAAAAACTCGTTGGAAGTACTTGATAAAATGCATGCATATATTGGTGATTTTGAATCTGTTCAAAGTTTTGATTTTTCCACCCTATATACCACTTTGCCTTATATTCTTATTAAGAAAAAATTCACACACCTAATTAAATGGGCATTTAAAAAGTCGGAATGCGAATACATATGTTCAAACTCTTTTGGGTCATTTTTTAGTAGCAACAAACAAAAGAACTATGTCAATTGGACATGCTTTGATACTATATCTTCCCTTGAATTTTTACTTGATAACATTTTTGTTCGCTTTGGAGATTCCGTTTATCGTCAAGTTATCGGAATTCTAATGGGGACTAACTGTGCACCACTTATTGCGGACCTATTTTTGTATTGTTATGAGTTACAATTTATGACTAAAATCAGCAAAGACCCATCGAAACAACATCTTATACAAAAATTTAACAATCCTTTTAGATATTTGGATGATATATTGGCTCTCAATAATGACGACTTCAAAGTGTATACTAAAGAAATTTATCCTGTTGAACTTACTTTAAATAAAGCTAATACTAACAATGACCACTGTCCTTTCCTTTCCTCGATCTTGATATCTATATCATTAACGGGAAGCTTAATACAAAAATTTATGATAAAAGAGATGATTTTTCATTTCCTATCGTTAATTATCCATTTTTAGATGGTGACGTTCCCTTGTCACCATCTTAGGGACCGGTCAAAATTTCTTGATGCATGGGACCGGTGCAAACTGTAATGGGACAAGCACTTTTTGCAGTGTTTACAGGAATGGGACTCAATGTTTTTTTCATTATTGGCAAGCATGGGACATGATCTTTTTGAAACAATGTCTGTATATGAAAAAAAAAATTATTTGATAAATCTATAACAAACAAAAATAACATCATGAACATAGTGAATTTAACAGTTACAACATACCAAATTCATTTTCAAGATTTAGGGACCGGTCAATATTTATTGAGGGGTTAGGACCTGTGCAAAACGCAGTAGGACACACATTTTTTTAACTTAATTTTTGATAGGACTTCTACTTTTTTAGTTTTCAGCACTGATAGGACAGCAATATTGTTATGGCATAATTGTATGAATGTAGAAAATAGTCTATACAAATTTAATTACAACAAAATAAACAAGATTAATTGAGGAACAAACAAGTAACATATGGTGTAAATCAGCCCATCTAACTAAATTAAATATAGATCTATCAAAATTCCAGTTTTTTTGGTAGTTTGGTTCATTGCTGTGAAATTAAAGAATTAAATTAATAGGTAAAAAAAATTTGATGAAATTCAGATAGTCATCTTTAATTATTTTTATAACTTTTTCAAATCAACTTGGATTTTCATCAAACTATACAGCTATCTTAGTTATATATTGATCTTACTGAATCCCAGGTCGTTATGTAGTTTGGTGTATTGCTGTCAAATTTAAGGATTAAATTAATCTAGGTAAAAAAAGATAGAATTTGCATTTTGGACTAAATTCAGATAGTACACTTTAATGTTTTTTATAACTTTTTCAAATCAACTTAGATTTTTATCAAACTATACAGCTATCTCAGTTATATACTGATCTTACTGAATCCCAGGTCGTTATGCAGTTTGGGGTATTGCTGTCAAATTTAAGGATTAAATTAATCTAGGTAAAAAAAATCTAGAATTTGCATTTTGGACTAAATTCAGATAGTACACTTTAATGTTTTTTATAACTTTTTCAAATCAACTTAGATTTTCATCAAACTATACAGCTATCTCAGTTATATACTGATCTTAATGAATCCCAGGTCGTTATGTAGTTTTGGGTATTGCTGTCAAATTTAAGGATTAAATTAATCTAGGTAAAAAAAATCTAGAATTTGCAGTTTGGACTCAATTCAGATAGTACACTTTAATTCATTTTATAACTTTTTCAAATCAACTTGGATTTTCATCAAACTATACAGCTTTTTCAGTTATATATTGATCTTACTGAATCCCAGGTCGTTATGTAGTTTGGGGTATTGCTGTCAAATTTAAGGATTAAATTAATCTAGTTCAAAAAAGCTAGAATTTGCAGTTCAGACTAAATTTGGATAGTTAACTTTGAATTATTTTATAACTATTTCAAAGCAACTTGAATTTTCATCCAAATCTACAGCTATCTTCATTATATTTTTATCTTACAAAAAAACAGGTTATTTGGTAATTTGGTTTATTGCTGTCAAATTTAAATATTTAATTATAGGTTTCTATCTGAATTTTGTCAAAACTGAAAATTTTAGCCTTTTTTTACCTATTAACTAAATCCTTAAATTTGACACAATACACCAAAACACAAAACAACCTGGTATTTTGTAAGATAAATATATAATAAAGATAGCTGAAAAGTTTGATGAAAATCCAAGCTGATTTGAAAAAGTTATAAAATTTTATAAATGACACCTTTGTTTTGTTAAAACAAGAATTTAATATAATCATGATAATAGAACTTTCATAACAATCCTTGATAACCTTTTAAAAAAGGAAATGTGTTCCAAAGTTACAGTAAAAATTTATTTTAATCAAATTTAAATAAATTTTTGTCAGATTTAAAGACATGGCATACAAGAGGCACTTTAATAAGGTTTAATTACATCAGTACATGTGTGTTTTACAGGTAAAAAGAAAGCCCTACTTTTCTTAAACTCGTGTATTACTTATCGAATGTAGGACAGAAAGTCACAGGACAAAAGTCACAGACAAAAAGCCACAGGACAAAAAGTCACAATTCAGTTTTGAGATTATTTTTCTTTAACAAGAAAACACTTATTTAAAAAAAAACATTTTTGTACTTTTCTTAAACTTTAGTATATAAAGCAACTTTGTAAACAAAATTTATATAAAAAAAGTATTTATAATGATCAAATAATTGTTATGAAAACAAAATGTCAAAGTGGGTTGGTACTTAAACGGCTTCATGGTACCAAGAAATATATCTTTTGCATGATTAAAATTTAATAAATCTTTATTTATCAAGTCTAATGAACAA